AACTCTAGGGTGAGCTCAACTGCCTCAATAGTGCCAGCTGCAGCAAGGTTGGTTAGCTGAGCACTCAAACACTTGAACCTTTCTGTAACTGCGGCTGGAGGCCAGGTGAGGCAGCACAGGGCACATCGAGAAGCACCAGCCCACCCTGGCAGGTAAATGCAGACCCACCTGCCATCTCTGTGTCTAGTGTAAGAGAGTTCTGACTCTGTTTCTATTTGCATACAATATAATGCCAGACATCTCATCAGTGCTCTACCAACATTTAAGCCAGGGCATACATGTTTGTACTCTCCTGCTGTGTTCATTCTGACTTGCACCATTTCAGAGACATTGAGCAGCAATCTGTACATATGTGTGGCATTTTGCTAATCATAGAATCATAGAATCATAGAATGGTTAGGGGTGGAAGGGACCTCAAAGATCATCTAGTTCCAACCCCCCTGCCATGGGCAGGGAAATCCTCCACTACACCAGGTTGCCCAAAGCCTCATCCAACCTGGCCTTGAACACTGCCAGGGATGGGGCATCCACAACTTCTCTGGGCAACCTGTTCCAGTACCTCACCACCCTCAATGTAAAGAATTTCTTTCTTATATCTAACCTAAATCTGCCCTCTTTCAGTTTAAATCCATTGCCCCTTGTCCTATCACTACACGCCCTTGTAAAAAGTCCCTCTCCAGCTTTCCTGTAGGCCCCTTTAGGTACTGGAAAGCTGCTATAAGATCATCCCGGAGCCTCCTCTTCTCCAGGCTGAACAGCCCCAACTCTCTCAGCCTATCTTGATAGCAGAGGTGCTCCAGCCCTCTGATCATCTTCGTGGCCCTCCTCTGGACTCGTTCCAGTAGCTCCATGTCCTGTTCCAGTAGCTAATGGAAAACAAACTCTGCTTTAGTATGAAACAGTCAAATCAGTAGGCAAATACACTGGATTTCAGCATGTTCTTAACATTTCTAAATATGAAATATATAGGAAAATAAAAATGTCTAGCACTTTCTAGGCAGGCCAGCACAAGCTCTGAATACCGAGGCACTGAACATTGCTCCTCATACACTGCAAGCACATCTGTGGCTGCTGTGTGACACATAAACAGCCACGCTATTGTTAAACTTGAATCCACCCAGTTATTAATAACAGCACAACTGGGTCAGCAGTGTATTGAGTGCAGACTGATTTATCATGTTTCCTGGATAAGTTTGCAGCCTACCCTAAACTTTCTGGAGTTTTAACTAGACCACTATTGAACAGGAGTTAGGTGATACAAAGCTTATGCAAATAATCTCTGCACTATAGTTATTGAAATACCAAGGTGCTCTAGATTTTTATTATGTTTAGATCAATCAAGGAGGATGCTGAAGTTCATATCTGGATTCAGGAGCCTAAGATACTAGATTTGGTCTCAAAAATAAGAAATGTTGTAAAACCTGCTCTGCTTGAGAGATGCCTGCTGTACTGGATGAAATCCTTAAAAAATGTGCAGTTTCTGTTATGTCTTCATCTAAAGGGAAAATAAACCCCTTAGATTAGAACTTGACATGAAACAAGAGAGAGGTTTTTGGTGTGCTATCTGATCTCAGAGGTGTGATGTTAGTAGGCTGCATAGCCAGCCTTGCCAGCTGCCTCCTTCTGCATCAGCCTTTTGATAAAGGGCCAGTTCTGATTGACTGATACATTGCAATATTGAGTACTACATCATCTAACTTCTAGGCACCTAAGCCAGTTAATGGACTTGATACTTGCTTGGTAGCTAGTTATTTTGTATTTGTGGTGAAGCATTAGTTTAGAGAAGTCCACACGCTGCATGAGATGCTCACTCAAAGTAGGCAAAGTCAGGCTCCTTTTTGTGACTAAAGTACCTTATCGAGGCCTGGAGAAACGATTTACAAACCAAAATACTTCCCTGAAGTTTGGTCCTAGGATTGGTCCTCAGTACTTTTCTCTCAGCAGATGGAAGACAATCTCCTTCTACTGATTCTCTGGGTTAAGTTCTTGCTGCCAAGCCTCTATTCTAGTCTTTTTTCTTTCTAAGCAGACTGGCAGTCATGTTTTCTTCCACTCTAAGAGCTCTTCAGCTAGTAGGCTGCAGCATATTCAATTCCATACAGCGGGAACTAAAATAGTTTTGGAACCTTTTTTTCTAGAAATATGACATCTGAAGATTTGAGATACTCTTCTCTTCCCCACGCCCTACCCTCAGTTATGCTGTAGATGAGGAGAGATTTTGAAAATCTGCTTTTGGTTCTAAGCATGGAAAGGGGGATTTAGTCTTACTATTCCTAACTGTTCAGCTGTATTTTCAACATAAATTTGCTCTTAATTTATAATACAAAACACACTCTTTTTTTTTTTGTCTAAAATACTTCAGAATTTTTTATCTTTAAAGACTTTCTTGTTGTTATACAGCAACAAGACCATGCACAAGATGTAATGATTCTGAATCAACATTTTCTTTGGATGCTGTGCATTGAAACTCAACTTATTTTCCATTATTTGTCTTTCTGCAACAAGAAAAAAATTTTTATAAACCAGAACAATTTTACTAGGATTCTGACAAGTCCAATTTATATGGTACATTGTCACAAAAGAGTACCTAAGAAAAAGCAGAATGTCTATACAAACCTATTAATACGGTTTAGAAACTCTTTGCAGGAGCTAGAACAACATACTATTAAAAGTTCAAATACATATTCAAGATGTGTGTTTTTAAAGAAAACATTATAAATATGCAAATTTGATAAACAAATACAGAATAAAATGCACTAAGAAACTGATATGTAGACAAAGGTTTATTTACACCATACAACATTTTAAATATTTTATACACAGCTGCAGCAGAGAAAGCTACTCTGAGCTTTCCAGAGAAAACTGCAATAATAAAGATGTGAAATATATTATTCATATAAAAGTGAGATTATTACTTTATTGCATTTAAAGCAATGAAGAATGTAGCTCAACAGACATTCATTTAATGACAAAAACTTTGCTTTTATATTATAAAGTAAAAAGTGTAGTAATGGCCAAACAGACTGTTATAAACTTTAAAAACTGCATAAATATATACATTGTGCTTCATGGTGAAGTTTTTTGAAAACTAAACCAAATGAAGCTGTTACAACATGAATCGTTGCTTGAGGTTTATCTATAAAGATTACCTTACAAATCCATTCCACGGGTACTTACAACACACGATGGTAAGAATTGTACACCTGGTTCTCCACTAGCCGCACTAGTGGGAAAATACTGTACGAAAAAAACCACTGACATTTGGCACAGGAAGAGCCTGACATAAAGTAGTCACAATGTTCAGACAGGAGCGTCAGGATTCCCAAAGTCTCTTTATTGTCAGTGCAAAGAATTATTTTTGTTTTGCTTTTGTTTTTGTTCAGTTTTTGTTTTTTTTTTTCATTTCTGTTAAACTTCTGTTTGAAAGTCACCTTCTTGCACGTCTAAAGGCAAGTTCAGACACTTCTCCCATTCTGCTGGTCTGAGTTCTAAAGCATCTTTTGCCTCTGTGTCTAATACGTTTATCGTTGTATAGTGTTGGTAGTCGCCTGTGGTTTTGAAACTGTCCCATGGAGCCTTGCTGGGTGCTGAGTTCTCCTGAAGACCAAAGAAAGAAGGATTAAAACCAAGGATGAAATCAAGTGTTTTCCATTTATAAGGCTGATCGCTAACGTGCTCTCACGAGACACAGAAACCAGAGAGGGGAAATGGCTTTGCAGGGTGCCAGGCTGGTGGGTGTTCACCACCGGTGCGACTCTTTCTCTGTGAACAATCAACACTTTGGCAGGCTCCTCACCTGAGCTGCCAGCTAAGCCCTTTCTTTCACAAAAACCAATGTACGTGAGGAATGGCCGAGTGATCCAGTACCAATAGCCATCTTTTTAATAGCACTTGTGTAGAGAAGAAGAGAAAGGAAGGCAATTGAGAAGAGCTTGCTGCCTGAAATATGGAGTGGTTTGGAACAGAGATTGACAGCTGGATTTTAAATTGGGGCAGGTGCGTGACAGAACCACGGAACCTACTCTTTGAAAATGCTGTGAGATCCACCTTGTTTTAGAGGCTGATGAGCTCATGTATATTAGGATTAACAGGCTGCAAGCTCGTTGTTTTCTACTGAATGATTTTTTTTTTGAATGCTAAGTTTTGTAGGGTAAAAGATACCACGTACTAAGACCAATTTAATTAGTGATTTCTGCTGTAACATGTTGGGTGGGACTTGGCTGCCAAAACCTAACATTTTTGCACCATTTCAGATGCCTTTGGATTTTCTGCCTGATCTCCAACTATCTTTGATGAGAGGTGCAGGTCTTCCTTGAGACTTGTGTCATCACTGCTTGTACTGTGCTGTAGACTAAGACACCTGAGGCTGTCTAAAATAGCCTGAGATGCCTATATATAGGTACGTGGATCACTCTCTGACTGTCTTACAGATAGACCATTCCTCTAGGCAGCTTTTATTAGCAGACATTTCAAAAACATAGCGCCGATGCGAAACAGAGTAAACATAACTCTTCGACTGACATTCCCTTTGAGATTTTGAATTGATTCAAGATTTACATGGACAGCAAATCTCAAATAGGAGGTGAATGCAAACTCTACACGTCAGCAAATCTCAGAAGGGACAGTGAGTGAGAACTGGATACAAAATAACACATATCACAGCTAAAGGTTCATCAAAGAATCAGGGCCAAATTTCTGCTGGATTAAGATGATGTAAATGATGTAAATCCATTGGCCTCACATCTGTTTAATACCTCTTCTTCATGTCTGAGAGCAGCTTTTCTGAAAAAGTTATAGAATACAATGATTCTAGCTCAGTTCCATTTAACATAAAATTTTCACATTATAAAATTATATATAAAATTATTAATAATCATAATATTACTGCTAAAAATATGTCACACTAAATTAGTTGTTTTAATTAGGCAGAACCAACTATTTCTTTGCTCTCATTATCAGATGTAGTCAGGGCGTTATGCATGCGTGTATTAATGTATGTGTATAAATTTGAGTTATGATGATAGAGTCAACTCAGGATGAATTAATTTTTGCTTTTCCCATGGTAAATATTTATAAATCCATTATGGAAAACATATGGCTTTACAGAGACCTTATGTGCTTTCTGGACCTTCTCACGTATAGGTGAATCTAGCTGGACTTGTTCCTAGTAACTCATTTAATATCTGCTTGCCTAGCTAGAGGAAAAGTCGTATTGATCAAATTACATTAGTGAGCTGCTTTCTCTGTATGTGTCTTTAGACTTGGGAGACACATACAGATTTGAAATCTGTTCCCTACAGTTCAATCACTTGTCATATAATGATGTCAGTGAGTTAGTTATGGTCTAGTTGTAAAACCTAATGAGTCTCGTCATAGGCTAGATTACTGAAAATATCTTTTGTTCTGATTTCTGAGGCTACCTAAAGGTAGCACAAAGTGAAGTCTTCTTGGGAAATAACACTGAATTCAAAGGACTCTTGTTTCGTTGTTGCTGTTCAGGATCCATCACATTTTAAATATCTAAAAGAAAAACTTACCATACTGCCTGATTTTGGTACATCCCGAAATCTGTCCAGTGTCTGAAATTTCTGATTTAACTCTTGAAACAATTCCATGTGCCTCTTTCTTGTATGCATGACCTTCTGTAAAATGGAACATAATTGCTTATATTTATAATTGAATCTAGGCTTTTTTAAGAGAAGAATTATTTTCCCCAACATAATAAAGTAAATTGAATTTGTCTGGGCCATCTTTTCCCTCTAGACTTGACCAATGGAAATGAACTGCACTGAAACTTCTCTCTGCTCTATTAAATGTTCTCCCTCTGTAAAAGACACTAGTTTTACTCTGCATATATTGAGTTTCTGAAATTAAGGGACACTGTTTTTGTGCTAGCCTACAAGTATTTTGAAAGTGATGGCAGTTTCTCAGGATATTTCTCTTGCACATTAGGAATATTTTCTAGAATTTCTGTTTTCAGCGTGGATGCTAATATACTATAGGATACAACAGCAGTTTGTAATTGTCCTTATAGGAATAACTTTTATGAGAACACTGAACTCAGAAATTCTGGCTCAAAATGGAAAAACCCCAAATGTTATGTCTTTTTAATTAGACAACTTCTTGTCATTCAGATCATGATAAAATGCAGTTGAAATGACATTCATATTAAGAAAAGTAGGCACAGTTTTTCAATTTTACTTGTTTTCTTATTTCAAGGACTGGGAAATTGGAAACCACCCTCCCCCTAGCCATGCACAGGGCACTCTTCCACAAAAACTAATTATATGGCATT